CTGGGCTCCGTCGCCACGCTCCCTGCCATGCAGCACCTCAGGGGCACGGGGTGGGGGTATCTTGCCTACCTTTCCAGGCAGGACTCCCGGTGACGCCCGGGTGTCGGGCAGTGCCAGCTCCGGCAGGGACCTCGCCCATCCCGGGGACACGCACACAAAACCTGCACGCAGGCACCACACCTGCGTGAGCTGCAGCGTGGCCCAGGCACATACTTTGGATGAAGCTCTGATTTTTCAGGGTGAGCGAACGCAAGAACCCGGGAGAGTCCATCCCAGCAACCCACCTGCCATGCCACCCTCTTGCTCCCAAAACACAGCGTTGCGCACGCAGGAAGAGGCAGCACCCACCCTCCACCCTTTAACGCTGGATAGTGGCAGGAGGGAATTGTTCAGCCCTTTTTCCTCGAGACTCCAAAGCAAGGGGGACAGTGAGCAAGGGACCCCAGCAGAGCGGGTGCTGGGCTCCTGTGGCCCCGTGGGCTGCGCAGCCCCTGTGACAGGCAAGTCTCGAGGATCTCTACCTACTGCCACGTGGCCCTGCGGAGCCTTGGCAGCAATGGCCCCTTGAGCTGCTGCCTGTGCAGCATGGGAACAGCGCCAGAGCCAGACCTTACTGGCAGCCAGGTGACCCTGGGGGGGGTGAGGGGACCAGCCCCACACACAGGGCTCCCTTGCTTCCCTGCCTTGTGCCTCTGGGCCGCAGATGCGGACAGGGCTCTGCCTGCTTGTTGCAGGATCTTTTGCCTTTTCATGTCCTGGCTGATGTGGTTAAATGCAGAGGCCGATAAATCCAGGCAGCCTAGTCACGTGCAAAACTTGCGGCAGTGCTGCAGGGGTGAGAGGGACCCGTACCTGTGCCCCCCTCAGCAGAGCAGCACCTCCCCCCCCAGCCCCCCAGCGCCTCATGCCTGGCAGCAGCTTGCCCAAGGGCATGCTGCACTGGAGTCGTGCTGCTCCCCTCCTGCAGCCCAGAGCATCATCTTCAGGGATGCTGGGAGGCGGGAGGCTTCCCACCCTGACCACCTCTGTGCCAGCCCCGTTCGGTACAGAGAAGCCTGCATGGTGCTGAGGATACCTCAGGCACCTCCGCTGCGCATCAGGGGCTGATTCGAAGCAAGAAGCAAGCAAAGGGCACTGGCAGTGCACCACTGAATTTTAGACTTGCAGAACCACCAGAGAGCAGCTGAAGGGCCGTAGGAGGTGACCGAGATCTCCCCTGCCCCAGGCAGGCAGCATGGGCCACCCTCAAGCTGGCACTTCTGGCTTGTAGCATGAGGGCTTTGGGAATCTGTGGACTCCCTTGAAGGCCATGAAAAGTGAAAAGCAAGCCTAGAGTAAGTGGGCTGATGTGCAGTCATTAGGGCTTAAGTGTCCACATGGATAATATTTAGCATCTGCATGCTGAAGAAGGCTGACAAGTCCTGCTCACACTCGAGCAAAGCAGAGAAGGACCATCCCTGGTGAGACCTTGTTTTTTTGAATAAAGGCTGCACATATCCCCAGGACATTTTTATAGCTTTTATAACTGGATTACCTAATTAAATCAGTTCTCATGTCTCCTGGAATCTAACCAGGTCAAAACGTGTTGCCCACCTGCGGTGTCCTGCACTGAGGCACAGTGATCAAAAGATAGGGAAAAGCAAAATCTTTTGCCAAAATTTGATTTCTTTTTTTTTTTTTTTAAATCTGTCTTCAGTATGTCCAGATGCAGTGTCTCCTCCCTGCATGACAAAGGCACAGGGGATTTTGGAAGCAGCAGGTGTCCGATGTGTGGGGCTGTGGTGCCTTTTGCTCCGGGGATCTGGACACTGTGTGTGGCAGCGTGCAGTGAGTCTGATCGCTGCTGGTGGCTGGAAAACTCATGGTGCAATGGGAGTCTCAAGCTCTGGCAAGCTGACATTTGTAACAACACCCTGTTTTTTCCTGACCTTTTCATGTGAAAGTCAGGCTTCCTTTTTTAACTGAATTCCCCTGGTATCTCTCATCCTACCAGTGCTGACTCCAGGCTGCAACGGGACATTTTATTTTCCCACAAGTAACTGCTTTAAAAGCCCCTCTAGGAAAGCATAACCCATCCCTCACGTGTGCTGTCTCCCCTTCAGCAAAGCAGCCTGCGCTCTCTAAATGTGTATTTACAGAATTCAGTGGCAAGAGACATTTTTGCTCTTACTGGAGCTGCCCAAGGGACAGTTTGATCCATATTCAACTCAGCCCCTGAGGGTTTCTCCAGGCTTTTGTCCCTGTCCCTTGAGGGTGAGGAAGCCCCTAAAGCTTTTCCTTGGGGGCAGGTAAAGGGGAGGGAGAGGAGAAGCCGCTGCTGCCTCCCACCACACAGGAGTCAGGGGCTGACAGGCAGCAGCTGGAGGCGACTGTGCCGGTGCAGTGAAAGAGCACGGCTCGCCCCAAGCCAGGGATTGATTTTACCCTGCGGAGTAATGAAAAGCTCCTTAAAGCATGCAGAGCCAGGAATGTGCCATGCTGGTGAGAGGCACTGAGAGCAAACTGCGAAGGGCAAAGGTGGGAAAAGTGGCCTGTCCCCTCCAGTGCCACCCACCATGGAGCCTGGAGGCCCCAGCAATCCTGCTGGCACTTTCCAGTCCTTCTGTGCTGCCTCTCCCCAGCCTGGGATCAAACCACCTGCAAATAGCTCCTCTTGTGTGCTCTGAAGGTGAGCAGCAACCCGGTGGAGAGCCTGGGCTACTCCCAGCGATGCTGTGGCAAAACCGAGAGGAGCCCATATGAGAACCCTGTCACTCTCCCTCGCTAAGGTTTGCGTTTTCCAAGGGAAAGGGCCATTTCACGCCACTAATTGGGGGTCCCTGGGGCTTGCCCTGCGGTAGGACGTGTCTCTTCCTCCTTGTCCCAGCCCTGGGTGATGGTGTCTCTCTCTTGCTCTCTCCAGTGGAGCCGGAGTTCAAGTACGTTGGGAACATGCACGGGAACGAGGTGCTGGGCCGTGAGCTGCTGCTGCAGCTCTCCGAGTTCCTGTGCGAGGAGTACCGCCAAGGCAACGAGCGGATCGCCCGCCTCATCCACGACACGCGCATCCACATCATGCCCTCCATGAACCCCGACGGGTACGAAGTGGCTGCCAAGCAGGTACCAGGCAGCGATCGCCTCCTCCAGCCGGGTAGGGGCAGAAAGCCCTTCAAGTCCCTGCAGGATCCCCTTCACTGCACTTTTGGGGAGGGGGCATCCTTCCTCTGCGTGCCCTGCCAAATTTGTCCCCCTCAACTGGTGTTGCTGTGCCTCACCTCCCGTGCCAGGGGCTCATGCTGTGTGTCCTGCCCCAGGTGGCCCTTACAGGTGATGGAGGAGGCTTCCAACACCTGCCTAGCCCTCCCCAGAAGTTATTGGTCATGGGATGGTCACTGCAAACCCACTGCCCCAGGCTGGGAAGGTGGCAGCTGAATGCCACTGTCATGAGCAGACAGGGTCATGAGGGATGGGGCAGGGAGGAAGCCCTCTAGACCCCCTCAAAACCTCACCCATTCCTTTGTACTGCTAGACCTTGGGGAAATAGTTTATTCATGGCTCTTTCGGTTGAGGCAGATTCTTTATTTGGCTTGTCCCTTGCGTTGTGACCCTGGAAAATGAAGATATTGTTATTGACTTTCCCCGTCAGTACCAATGCTCTTTATTCTCCTGCCAGCAATAACATGTCTGTTGTGACTCAAAGGCCCCGCAGCGCCGTTAGGACGGCCGGTCCCTGCCGCTCTGTCACCCAGCCTGCCTGCACCCACCCTGTGCTCACCCCCGTGACGCACCTTTGCCCCGCAGGGCCCGGACAGCAACGGGTACTTGACGGGGAGGAACAACGCCAACGGAGTGGACTTGAACCGCAACTTCCCTGACCTCAACACGTTCATGTACTACAGCGGGGAAATCAGTGGGCCAAATCACCACATCCCACTACCCAACAACTGGAAAAGCCAGGTACCGGTCTGGGATGCTGTGAGGGTTACAGCATCCTCTTAGAGTGGCTCAGCGCACAAGTAAATGTACTGTCCTTTGTGGTTGTCTCCTTCCCCGTGCCTCCTGCGTGCAGAGGAACGATGTAACCCTGCCCCATATCACAGCGTGCACCTCTGCCAGGAGGAGAGGCCAGCATCACGGCCAGCTTGGGGAGGTGGTTGCAATGCACAGGGCAGAGGAGGCGGCACATGCTGGCTAACGTGTGTGCCTCAGGTTTTGGGGCTGTGCTGGGAGAGCTGTAGCAGGGTGTGCAGCAGAGGAGCCAGCTCTGCGCACCAGGGCAGCTGGTGGAGAATGGAGGAAGCTGCGAGGGCTGAAGCAGGCAAATAGCGGGGCTGGGTCTGACGTGAGCGATCACGCCGCAGCCTAGCACGGAGCAACAGCTGGTCCAGAGGTGGCTGAGCTCTCCTCCCTGTCCCTGGCCCTCTTCTCCTTACAGGTAGAGCCGGAGACATTGGCTGTGATCCAGTGGATCAGCAGCTACAACTTTGTGCTCTCGGCCAATCTGCACGGTGGAGCGGTGGTGGCAAATTACCCCTATGACAAGTCTCAGGACCAGCGGGTCAGGAGCCCCCGGCGCACAGTCAACCCGCCTACCCAACACGCCTACCCCTGACGACAAGCTGTTTCAGAAGGTGAGCGCGGCCCCGGCAGGCGAGGACATTCCCGCAGCGCGCGAGAGCTGGCCGGGAGTCGCTGGGTCACTGCCTCAGGCGGGAGCCAAGCCGAGAAACGTGTTGGAAATAACCGTTAGCAGACTACGGCATTTCTGCCAGCCACCGGCTCGTGAGCCAGGTCAGCCCAGTCCCACCGTGAGCCGGTCCCGCCACAGGCCAGTCTTAACCCTTGGGAGCCCCTTCCTCATCCATGCTGTGCTTGGGATCCCCGTAACCCCAGTATCACCGGTCTCTTCAGTACCACCCTGACCACCCTCCTCTTCCAGAGCTGGAGCCTGCCTCCAGCTTTGTTTTGCTGTTGTAGAATGTATATGGGTTTTTTTCCTAGAGAGATGGCAGGGTCTGGCTGGGGGTCTGCTGAGAGCAGGATAAGGGAGGCAGGTGCCCAGCAGGACTTGTGGATGGCAAAGAATAAGGAATACAATGAAAAGAGCACCAGGAGCATAGGCAGACATTAGGGAATATACTGGTCTGCACTGCTGATCCTGCTAACACTAGCTGAAGCCTGTGTTTTTTCTCCATTGTTAAAATGTCCCAGAAAACAGTGTCTTCCGTTACTGCTTCCATTAGAAAAAACCCGACACAAGGAAAAGCAAGTCTGCATTAGAACAGTTAATGAGAAAAATAAGTCTGAGCTGGAGTTCAGCTTTCTCTGGAAACAGAGGCTGTGCAGGAGCTTGCCAGGACCTGCTGGGATCAGGACTGCACTCAGACCCAGATGTAGAGAGGCTGCAGTCTGGGGCGTAGGCTAATGATACCCACATAGCCTCAGAAGTCAGAAATGTAGTGAAGGAACTGTTTTCCTGCTTACAGAAGGAGGTTACACCAGCATCTGAACCATAATACAAGGGTATAGAGTTTGCATTATAAAATGCAAACACCAGTCTCTCTTAAATTGTGTCTTATGCAAAGGACAGGCTTTGGATGCAGTGTCCCAATTTTAGCCCTGCCTTTATGTCTAAAAATAAGCATTCATCTTAATAAGGGCAATAAACAAGCGGTTGCCACAACCAGAAGTTGCCCAAACTCTTTCCTAATACAAATTCCCCTGATATATATGGTATTTGCATCAGGACTGCTACTGCTTAGTTTTCCTTACATATCTTCTCCCCCTGTTAGTGCCATTTGCTGTGTGGGGGCCAGCAACAGTGGGGCTGGGTGCCCCTGCGTGGGCTCCGTGCCCTCTGCTCCCCCTCGGCTCAGCGGGAGCCATCAGCAAGCCTCCAGCTTGCCAGATTTCTGCTCTTCCTCCTGCGCCTTCACCTGCCTACGTTTCGTAAAGGTCCTGGCCACCTCGTGTTGTATTCCACAGCAGTAAGATGCAGGAACTGTCTCTTGTCTGACTTCCCTCCCACGCTCCCCAGTGAAGCCTGTGCAGGAGGGGGGATGTTTCACCCAGAGCCACCCACTGCCGGAGCCGTGACCGATGGCTGCTCTCTCTCTAGCTGGCCAAGACCTACTCGTATGCCCATGGCTGGATGCACCGTGGCTGGAACTGTGGAGACTACTTTGCCGATGGCATCACGAATGGGGCATCGTGGTACTCGCTCAGCAAAGGTAAGGGCTGGGCAGGTGAGCACCACCCACGGCAAGGTGTTGAGCTGAAGAGAGATGAAGGGATAGATGAGAAACCTCAGGATGGGATGGGTTGGGGAAGGGCTGTGCCGGTAGCACTGTGCCCGTTACTAGACATCATTCTGGTGTCTGCATCTCACGCTGGGAAATGGCCTGGGAAAACTGGAAGTGGCTTGGGAAAGAGCCACAGAAGTAGCCGAGGTCTGCAGAGACCTGCTGCGTGCTGCTGGGTGAAGGAAGCATTAATCTGTTAGTGTATTTGAAAATGCTATGGGGTAACTCCATCAAGACCCAAAACTGTGACCAAAGAGAAGACGTTTCTCATAGCTGCTGGCTGCTGAAAAATGTGATTTTTAAAAGGCACAATGAGGTAACTGAAAACTGGCAAATTAGGCTAGGAAAGGTTGAAGAGGAACTGGAAAGAGATATGTAGCCCCTGCAGTACATAACCTCCCTGAGCTTCTGAAGGCAGAGTGGTGAATAATCCAGCTGAAGGAGAGAGTCGGGCAGCCACAAGGGGAGGGGGCTGCATGGGGGGAGAAGGCACCAGTCAAGCTGCATGGAGGGAGGAGGCTGCACCTGTGGAGCAAAGAGGGAATGCGGGACAGTTCTGGTAGAAGATAGACAGGGGCCATGATGCCTGGGACACAGGAGTGGGGAGGGAAGAGGACTTGCATTCCCCTGATCATGGGCTCTTTTCTTCCAGGCATGCAGGACTTCAATTACCTCTACACCAACTGCTTTGAAATCACTCTGGAGCTGAGCTGCAATAAGTTCCCCCCTGAGGAGGACCTGGAGCGGCAGTGGATGGCCAACCGGGAGGCCCTTGTTGCTTTCATTGAAGAGGTAAGGAGGCAGTCCTAGGACCTACACCCTTCCTCCAGCAGGCCCCCATGGGCCCCAGCCCTCGTGGTAGGGGAGCAGTAGGACCTGGGAGCACAGGGGTGGAAGGGAGGTGGTGATGGAGCTCACTGGGTGCTCTAGTTGGTTGGCTTTGGAGAGGCTGTTGTGTCCTAGACTGGCTCTGCTGAGAACTGGGGCAAGATGGGGATGTCCCCAGAGCTCTGCCCTCCTCCAGTGCCCAGCAACAGCCTGTTGACCCAGCAGTCTGTCGCCCTCGCTGCAGGTTCACCAGGGCATCAAAGGGATGGTGTCAGACGAGAACAACAACGGCATTGCAGGAGCAGTGATTTCTGTCCAGGGAATCAGCCATGACATCACCTCTGGTGGGTTGTCGGTCCCCTTGCATGCTGTCCCTTTTGGATACAGCCTCTCAGATGCTAGCTGGGTATGTGGGAGAGGGTTAGCAGGTGAGGCTATAATATGGGTGGCCAGCATGGTTTGCTTCTGAGAAACACTATCTGTGAGAAATGTGCTTGTGCATGCAGGGAGTGCTTATGAAAGCTTGGGAAAGAAAGAGGTGAGAATTGGAAGAAAAGGAGTAAACCTTATTATAACAGACTTCAGAAAGTCAGTTCCTATTTTATGTGAGAGAGAGGAGAAAACACATTTTTATATAACCAAAGAGAAGATTGATGGAATAATGTACTCAAGCATCTATGTATCTGAAATAGCTGATAGCAAAGGACACAATGGCAGAACAAGATGAACGACTGAAAGTTCAAGCCAGACAAATTTAGACTGAGAATGAAGTGCCACTTTAGTTTATCCAAGTTGTGGTGGTTTCTCCCTTGCTGGCCAATTTTAACCTTCTTTTCATAAACACCCTTCTCCAACTGGACCAGACATTACAGGCTGGCTGCAGAAAATAGCCGATATTCCAGCTCTTCAGAGGTCAGACTATGATATCATCAAAACTCCTTTTGGCTGTAGGTCTGTGACTCAGTAACACTCTAATATTTGGCACTTATTATGCCAACCTGCATAGGAAAGGGGAGTGTGCAAGAGATCACAGAATGGCAGAGGCGCTGGCTGCAAAGGGCCATCTGGGTTCTCCTGTCCAGCCTTCTGCTTGGAGCAGGATTGTCCCCAACATGGACTCTGATCAGCCATTGCTCCTTTCAGCCAATTCTCACTGACCCACAAGGATGGAGATTTCACAGCCTCTCTGCTGACCTGTCCCAGGGCTGCACCACCTTTGAGGTGAAGCTGTGCTGCCTGATCCACCCTGAAGCTCCCAGGCTGCCATCTATGGCCACTGCCCCTCGTTGTATTGCCTGGCGCTGCTCAGAGGAGTTTGGCTCCATCACCTTTGTAGCTGCCCTTCAAGTAGCTGCTGGCTGTGAGCAGATCCCCTTCCACCTCTTCCCAGCCGGGCTGAGCCCACCCAGCTCCCCCAGCTCTTGTTGCAGGACCTGAGCAATCCCTGTGGGTCAGTAGCTCTCGTTCTCTTGATGACCCTCTTGAACTGGGGGCACCAAAACTGGACACGGTATCCAGGTGCAGCATCCCCAGGAATGAACAGAGGGAGAAAATTATCCCCTTTGACCTGCCAGCCACCCTGCCCTCTTTTCCCTTGGAAGCCCCTGACTCATGTGTGTCTCACTCATACCAATTAGCCCCACCTAAGCCAAAATAACACAGGCTGCCTGTAGCGATTACTCAAATTTGCAATACCCATCCAGTTCCATAGATGGGAATATACTCAAATTGTCGAAGTAAACTGTAATGTGCTGCTGCCTCAGAGTTGGCCATCCCCTGTCCTTCGCCACACTAGCACACAGTCAGTCAAAGTGCTCCTGGGGCTTCCTTATGCGACAAGAATCAGGCAGGGGAGCAGCTGAGATGATAAGCAATTAAAACCCTGCTGATAACCCAAACGTGGCAAAATTGTTTCTGACAGGAACTGGAGATTGCATTATGCATAAGGAATCAGACTGGAGCTGTGGTTGCCCTTACATCTGCTGTCGTCTGACTGGCGAGTGCTCAGGTTTGCAGCCTCCCTGCACAGGCACAGCCAACACTGCTGTCCCGTCCCCTTTCGTTTGGGGAACAAATGGAAGTTTACTTGCAGACTGACCTCTGCTCCGTGGCACTAATGAGACATCACTTGCAGTCTGTCAATGTGAATCCAGCCTTGCGGTAACCAGCAGATTTGGAAGGAAGGCCAAAAATTGCCTGGGTTTTGCAGGCTACACATCTTTGAGGAAGTACATTCAGCAAGTCTTACTGGAATATCTTTTGCTCTGCTCCCTGTGCATCCTGAGTGCTTTCTCTTGCCACCTTGTGTTCCAGGTGATATGGGGGATTATTTCCGGCTGCTGCTGCCTGGTACTTACATGGTCACAGCCTCCGCAGAGGGGTACCAGCCCCAGACGGTGACAACAACAGTGGGCCCAGCTGCACCTTCATTGGTGAGTCACGAGGGTGTCTTAAAACGTCTTCACCCCGGGGATAAAGAAATGCAGCAGGGGCTGTCTAGTGAGCAGCAGAGAAAGGAGATGGGTTGTAGAGCATTGCCGTGGCTGCAGGCTGTCTGCTTTGGCAGACATGGGGCTCCCTGCAGCTCAGAGAGGGACAGGGTGAAGGCAATGCCACGTGCCTCCCAATTCCTTACTGAGGGCTTGCAGCTGGACTGGGCTGCCACACCAGCTCCTGTGTCCCTCTGCCTCTTGGCTATGGGGAGAGCCCCTGGCTGGCTGGGGCTGCTGCTCCATCCTCCCCCCTCTCCAGGACACGATGACGTGGAGGCAGCCTCTGGTCCCTGAGGCTCCGTTATCCCCCTGGCTCTGGGCTTCAGTGCTCTGCTATCATCTGCATCCTGTCTGGGACCAAACACGTTATCAGACTCGTAGCAAGGGGCTGAGGTCTGCCTTTCTTTCTGCTGAGAGCACCCAAGACAGATGGGGATTGGGTGCCCACAAAGAACAGCCAAGCACCTTTGGGAGATGAAGTGAAACCAGGTGCTCCTGACAGCAGTGTGGCCCCTACAGCACCCTCCTGAGGGTGGGCTGGACAACTAGAAATTGGTTATAAAAACAGTGGGTGGTGATCCCTGCCGCTGCTGTTGCCTTATGAACATAGCAGGACCACAGATGCAGCCTCCTCTGAAGACTAGGAAGAACCCCCTGGCTGCAGCATCCTGGCACATCATTTGCTTCACTGCATGTACTGGTCAGGCCCTGCCATAAATACATTGCAGTGGTTCTCCCACCCTCCATCTCTTCATCCCACCCTACCCAGCCTCTGAAGTTCTTCCAGAGCTGCCCTTTTCTCAGGATTAGAAACCTTCTAATTTTCGTCCTAAATTTATTTATGGTCAGTTTCTCCCTATTTGTTCTTATGCCAGGGTTGTGCTTTAAATAGCTCCTCTTCTTCCCTGGTATTTATTCCCTGATGTATTTATAGAAAGCTGTCAAGCCCAGTCTTAGCCTTTGTTTTGCTAGGTTAAGCACCCAGCTCCTCGGCTTTCCGTTGTAAAATACATTTTCCTTTTACCATGTTACTGTAGGAGACTGACTTGTTCCCTGATGGTCCAATTTTGCAGATCTCCCCTCACAGCAGCCCACCTGTCCCCATTTCCCTCTGCCACTGCAGCACTTACCATATCCATCATTCAACCCATCCCTCCACCAGGAAGCCCACCCAGCCCCGTTCCAGTTTCACCTTTCTGTATGGCATCCTCATTCCCCGTTTATCTGGTGCTGTGTCCTGCACGCTCCTTGTCCCCTTCTCCCTCTTGTAACTGCTTGCATGGCTGTGGTGGATGGAGGTTTCTTCCCTGGAATTTTTTTGCCTGGTTCTACTAGAAGCACCAGTTGCTGAAAGACTGATTTAAGCAGGATTCAGCTAATGAGATGCAATTGAAAAAGGACTATCTGTCCTAAAGTATTCTGTGTATTCACAGAGATGCAAAGCAGTGCTATTTCTCTATCTCTGGTAAGAAAATAGGAAGAAAGAGCATAGCTCAGACCCTGCCTTTCACAGCTCATCTTCCAAACCATCCTAAGATGCCACAGGAGCAGCTCTTTGCATAAGAAATGCAGCTGATTGTTGGTATAACATTTTCCACAGAAAAAAAAAGTGTTTCCAGTTGATTTAAGCAATGACTTCCCATTGTATCGTAACACTGGCTGAGGCCCCTTATTGCTTGTCTTGGCCCAAGAGTCAGCTTTGAAGGCTAGCAGCAGGGGCAGGTCCTGCAGACCCCTGAGCCAGCAGAGCACACACATGGTGTTACACGGTTGTTTTTGTTTCTTTCTCCAGGTGCATTTCCAGCTCAAACAAGATGTGGTGAGGCAGCCCCCAGAGCGTAAAGCCTCGGGCACACGCATGAACAACAAAGCCCTTCAGAAGAAGGTAGTGCCAAGAGCCACCCGCCGGGGGACCCAAAGATGAGGACAGCTCACTTGGCTGAGAGCTGGGGGAAGCCGTTTATACGAGGCCTGGCTGATGACTACGGCCAGTGAACTTTCCAACAGTCCAGCATGACACTAGCCCAAGTTATTAGGTTATTAAAAACGAGGAAGTATTTAATCCCTGAGCAAATCGTGAAGTCATTCACAACAAATTGTGCCTGGGCTGCGGTTTCCCGGGCAGCATATCTGTAGCTGCTGAGCTCTTGCCCTGCACTCACCCCGTGTAGGAGAGCTCTGCTCCCTTTACTCCTGGACTCAGTTGCTGCAGCCCACGTGAGATGCCCAGGCACTGGTGTGTACCAGGGAGAATGAATCCAAGCCCTGGTCTTTGACTGCTGCACTCACAAGCTGGGCACGTGAATCCTGGCACTAGTCCTCTGGGTGCAAGTGCTGTGTGTCTCCCTCAGGTAAGAACAGTTGCTGCCTGTAGACCCTGAAGTTAGGGGGAGGTCAGTTTTAAAACAGTGATGAGACCAGCTCTGAACACAGTTTGTCCCACGTATAGCACCGCTATCGCTGGTTGGCAACACCACAAGTAGGAATGCAGCACTGGGAGGTGGTGGTCTAAGGTAATCTCCTGGCTAGTGATGTCACATTTAGCTTGATGTGCAGATGGGACTTTCTGTTAGACGGTTTGTATTATATGTCGTCAGACAGGCTGAAGCAATACATGCTGGCAAAAGCAAAGGATTATCCTGTCTCCTTATGTCTTCAGATCCAAACCAGATGGCTCACTGAAGGGTCTGCTCTAGCCAACACAAACTATTAGTCTGAGCACAGGAGCAACTAGGTGAGGTCTGACAACCACTGATGAGTAGGAATGCAAGGCAGGTGATTTGATGTTCCTTTGAGACAAATACTCTGAACTGGTCCTGTCAATGTGCAACAGGGAAGCGTGGATGCTTGGAGCCAGCAGTGTGCTGTGCAGGTACAGCACAAGCTGTGTGAGCTGTAACTGGGTTAGAGAAGACATGCTCCGTGGTTCAGGGAGGTGGGGTACTACAGGCTGGGCCTTTGCTTATGCTGTCTGGGCAGGTTTGTAGTGGCAGCAAGAGTGGAAACGAAGCTGGTTATTTCTGTAGTAAAAATATTTTAAGCAGGCAAAATCTTTCTAGCATTCTTCATAGACAATAAATAACTCCAGAGGGATAAAGAGTCCCACCCATGTGCCCCAGCAATTTATTTTTTCTTCGCTGGTTATCCCTGTCTCCCCAGCGTCCTCCATTGCACTGTCCCTCTCCATGCCTCAAGCCTGTCCAAAAAGTGTCCCCCAAACATCACCTTGCTCCTCCTCTTTTGCAAACATCTTTTCATCTCTTGTGAGCAACCTCTACCACCCTACTGCATAAGCAATATTATGCACCTTATCTCTCACCGTCACCTTCTCCTCTGTCTCTGCTGCAAGATGCTAGCAGCATTTTCAGCTCTAGAAGCACACAGAGGCTCTTGTAGCTCTGCCTGCTAACAGAAGCTGTTTCTGTGTTGTGCCTGTTCTTGGAAACGCAGAGCAAACTGTCCTCTTGGGGTATCGATTCAGGCTATGGCAAAGAAGTGCCAGGAATGGTGGTGTACTTAACCATGGCTGTGAATGATACCAGTCTGCAGAGGCCAGTGTGGGCTGGAGACACTGGCCAATTCCACATTCACAACCAAAGCTGAATTCAGATTCTCTAATTTCTTATCTTTTGGTGGCGGAAGGAATTGAAAAAGGATGGTGAGGCTAAGATGTTCAAACTCCTGTGCTAAGGTTTAACACCTCTTCCCCTGGCCAAGCCCAACAGCATCACTCCAGATGCTGGACTCTCCTGTTCAAAGCCACATGTCAGTGCACATTCACCCAAAACATTTCCTGGTGGACATGCTAGCAGGATGAGGGAGGCCACCCTGCATCCCACAGCCTGGCCCCATGCAGCATGCAGAAGGGTCTGCTGTCACCACATGTCCGACCCACGTGTGGAGAAAATACTCCTGCCCTCAACCACGGCACTAGGTCCGCTGGCTGAGATAACCTCTCACCTCGGAGGATATGTACGAAGCTGAGAGCAAGGAAAGGGCCCCCAGGGAGCAGCCTACAGTTGGCTAATGCAGTTGGGCAGTCCCTGGACAGGGTGATGCTCAGCCCACACAGAGCTGCCCCTGCCACTCGCATCCCAGCAGTGTCACAGGTCGCCTTGCTGAATCTGCTGGCTGCGGGTGCTCTCATGTTGCCCTCTTGTGGTCCTAGAAAATGTACGACCATCTCAATTGCCTTTACTTTCCAGGGCAGAGTCAGAGGAGGGGCACTTTTTTCTCTGTTTGGAACAGGACAAGCAGTTCAGGAGGCCCCATCACTCACCCTCACAGGCTGCTATGGGGTTGGCAGAGCAGCAGCAAAGTTAGAGTCTTGGTGGCAAGCTTTTTCCCCTGCAAGAGGTTTCTTACAAGACAACCTTCTGGAGGACTCTCTTGCTGGGCTGGTATTTGTTCAGCTCATTCTCCTCCCAGCTCTGAATATTTTTGTGTTGAACAGTTTGGTAAAGCTCCACTTGGCTGTGGCCGAGCTCTCCACGTGAAAACACGGTTACAAAATGTTTCCGAGGCAGCACTCGCTCTCTTAAGCACGCCTCTCAAAGGCTTGCCATGAACTTAGCCCCATGTTGCAAGAAGCGTGGGCTAAAAACAGTGCTAAACCTTTGGACATAACATCTGCAGCGCAGTGGCTGCACGTTCTTTTGAGGCTCTGGTCAAGGCAAAAGCAGTTGACAGCTTTGTGTCAGAAGACACAGTGAACAGTTGATCCTCCTCATCCTCTCTGGGCCACTCATGATTTTGTAGACCTCTTCCCCCACCCCATGTCCTTCTTCCAAGCTGAAGAGTCCCAGGCTACACAGTTGTTCGCTGTACAGAGTCTGTTCCCGTACCTCTGAGCATTGTCACTGCCCACCTCTGAACCTTTTTCCATTCTCATTTACCCTTTCTGAGTAGAGGGGACCAGAAGTGCATGGTGGCTGGCATGCAGGAGGCAGAAAAAGGGAAAATACCAATAGTTGAATTCGAAGAAGAGTGAGGCAGCTTTGCTGGGGCTGCCAGGAGAGGTGGGTTAGTCATGGCCATGGAGGCTGCAGGAGGGATTGGGATGATGAAAACCTGTCTTGACAGGCAAGAACAGCAGAACCTTTGGGTTCAGAGGACAACATCTAAAACCCTATGGTAGGGGGTGATGTTCGTTCTTCAGCTCCAGCAAACCATATACAAGGAACCATACCTGCAGGGAAGAGAGCCCCCAGCTCCCTGTGCAGCTTCAGGCCCTCTGCCAACGGCATCGTGCCGTGCCGGCAGTGCGGGTCCCACCTCAGGAGAGCAGACAGGGAGTCAGCGCCCAGCCTGTGCACGTACGAGTGCAACTCTGACAGCGGTGCATGCAACGCGCTCTGCACACCCTGCTCCTGGCTGGTGGCAAGACAAGCTGGGATCTGGGTGGTTGCTATGGAGAACTGTAGCTAAATGCACAAACAAGTGCCAAACGGCGATAACTGCTCTGGGGACTGAGAGACTCTGGGCTTTAGAGTGTGTTTTTGAGGGATGGTATCCCTTGGGGCACAGAAGCTTATTTTTGGCCTGCCAGGAAAACCAGTGCAGGACCTACTTACTGTACTTGGTGTGCCTGACCCCTACGTGATGCACAAACTGGCCCTCTCTGTCACGGTTTTCAGCCAGGGAGCTATTTGTTTTTCTCCATCTTGGTGCTCTGGCATGATCTTACAGTGTATGCAAGCAG